GTTTCCTGGAAGGCTCTCAGGCTGGGCAGGGCAAGAGTCGTTCTTTGACCTGCATGTCTCGCGATGTGTTTCATTGGAGCCAGCTTGGGAGAATCGCTGGGCGTTCCGATTCCGGCTGCAAAGCGTTAGGTGGACAGCGATAATTGCTACTATGCGGTGATGGGGGCAGAACCCCGGGACTCAAGCATATGGCTCACGATGAAAGGGGACGATATGAAGTGCAAGTGCCCACGTGGAACCGTGGTATTTGGCAAGTCCACACTTTGCACCGACCCACAGTATGTGAAAGATCGGCGGAAGTTCGACGCCAGGGGGGTGCTCAGAGGGAGAGGCTGCCGTTGCAATCCCGAGAACGACAACTTTGACAATTTGCCCCCAGACTGCGAGGATAAGAATCCCACAGGCTACAAGAGCAAGACAGGTAGTCCGCTTACGTGTACAGATTTACGAATTTTCTGCGAGAGGCCTGGGTTTCAGAAGATTTGCCCGAAGACCTGCAAGTCAAACTGTGCGCCCCCACGCCCGGCTGCCGTACGGCCTTCCTCTAGCCCGGAGCCAGCGTGGCGCTTTGGCTCACTTTTTGACACCCTTAAGCTTGTGGACAGTCGCCCTTCTTCAAAGCTTAACTTGAACATGGATCATGTTTCCCCATTCGCCAGCCCCAATGGATCATGAGACCTTATGTGCTTTCCAGTTCTGGATCTCTTAGGAAGCAGCGCGCCGCGATGCTGGCAGTGAAGGGCCAGGCCTACACCGCCAAGGCGATTCGGTCCATGGGGGCCCATAAAATCCCGCACCTGGTGAAGGAGTGGTTCGGCGACAACGACGAGTGGACCCGGAGCCGGGTGCTGGGTGTCCTCAATGGGGTCAACCGCCTCCTCAGCAATGTGGATTACATCTTTCCCGGGGAGCGTTGCACGGAGAACAAGTTCGCGTACGTCTTTCCCAAGCCACCCTGGAATAAAAACAAGCGCGGGCGCTATGTGTTTCACCTGTGCCAGCTCTACATGAACTCAAAAGAAAGCGACCAAATCGAGACGCTAACGCATGAGGCATCACATCACGAGACGATGTTCTCACAGGATGCTGCTCGGTATCAATCTTGCTTCCTAGGGTCACGAGCTAAACCCAAGCTTCCGCGCTATTTGCCAATAGCTGGTGGCTGGGTTCTAACCTCACCTTGGCCCCAAAATCCCATCAACTGTAGTGCAACGAGGTTTTGTCAAACTCAAGGGACATATGCGGTGTTGGGGATCGTAATGAGTGATGATTTCATGAAACAGGTAATTATGGGATTGGTTGACGTGCACGATGACCCGAGGCGTGCTCTGATGGCAGCGAGAACCAAGATTGCCATAAATCATATGGGCGAAGAACATGCAAGAAGCTGGCTAAACAGTTCCCGGACAAGGCGGCCAACAATGCTGACAACTACTGCTTCTTCATCAACGATGCTGCGAAAGTGGAGAGATGACGCTGAGCTGATGACGCACTCACACAAGAACATATTCATTTTTTGATTTTGTTGGATTGTTGCAGAGGCGGCGCACTTATCGCTTGGGCAGAACGGAAAACAGGAGTTTGGTGCTGGGTGCTGATGTCTGTTTCGTTAAAGCATTTGTAATCATCGCTCTCGGAATCTCACGATGTACTTGTGGAAAGGCTTCGGGCCATGCCGGCTAGCTTCAATGCAGGTCCAGAATTGCCTACTGAGACACCGTCACCACCCCCTTCGGGTCCCCATTCCCCAGCGAGGGTGTTTAGCATGACCCGATTCAACTGGGCGTACGAAGCGTACGATGCACTTGACCAACTCTGACAAACAACGGCGCGCGCGTCGCACGAAAAAATCAGATACCCGTGTCAGGTGGCCGAGTATCTCCTGGGCTTCGGCCGCGCCCGGGCGGAGGCAGCCGACAGCCCATCTGCAAGGCTGGGGTTGTCGGACGGCAAATGCCGAGCCTTGGCCTCATGAACATTTTATGGTAAGTCGCGCTGATGAACAGACCTGCCCTGAGAAGTCAAAAGGGAAGGGGTCCAGAAGATGTGCATGTATATGTGGTTCAAGCATGTTTGAGGAAACTCATGTGAAGATTTGGCGTGTGCAGGGCGTTCGGATAAGAGGGGCACATTTGTCGTTGCATATTGGTTGCCACTGACAGCCTAGCGGACGCCCGTTGGCGGCGCACACTGATTCTGTGATGTCCGGCCCGAAGGTCCGCTCCGACGTTGCCAGACTTCATGGATGGAGCGCTTCGGCAATTGTAAGGAGATTGGGGCAGCCTCTGTGGTTTTACATTGATTTTTTTTTACCATTGTTCCCAGGGTGCCTTTCTGGGATTTTTGTCACTGGCTTGCAGCCACGGTTTCCCTTTCGAGGTGGTGTTCTTGGACGATGACGGCGGCAAGAAGATTCTGCCACTGGGACTCGCATCAGGCACCGGGTCATTCAAGTGAGCACTAATTTTGCTACAGCCATCATGCGCGGCAATGGCAGTAAAGTGTGGCTCAGGCTACGCCAGACTCGAGAAATCACCAAACTGGCGGACAGCGGCGTGCCAGCGCAGAAGCGCTTTGCCTTCTACGACCAGGCAGGACCCACGCTGCTTCATTGCATGAGCAGCCTGCGAATATACCGCATTTGTTTTGGTTTGGTCCTGCAAGGGAGGCAGATTGCCGTGCACCGGCTGACAGGTGCACACGACTGGCATGGACATCCAGCACAAGCTCGATGCTGTTGCAGCACTGACATTGGGAAAAGACATGTGCTTTGCCAAAGCATCTTCAGTGTGTGGGGCGCAATGATGGGCCCAAGTAGCACCTTTTATGGAAGACTGGCCATCACGAGGGTCATAGACCTGAACTCAAGCTGCTTGTTGCCAACCCTGGAAGCATTCTGCTTGGGCACCTATATTTGTCATCCAGAGCTCGAGCCGGTGCCACACATCAGCCACTGCCAAGGTGCTGGCGTGATTACGTCCAGGGCGCCTACAGAATGCGGGGCATCGGGCGAGGCCAACGCATTTGCCTCTACGTAATCCCGGAGGTTGTCGAGCTGATCAGCTTCTCGGTTTGAAGCCCTGAGGAAATGGTGCTGCAATAGGGTGTCTCTTTTCAAGTGCTTGCTGTTTGGGATTGCATTCAAGGGAAGTCAAAGGACACCGCGATTTTGGGGATCTCTTATGTGGAGACAAACCCATTTAAATTGAGCTAAATGTGGTTGGCTCAAGCTCCGCGAATCTAGTTGTTCATGTTGAATTCTATGCTCGTTGCTTTGCCCACAAGCATGGCTTGAAGACAAGCTGCTGACATTGATCCGTGACAGGGAGGGAGGGAGGGAGGAAGAGAGGGAAGGAGCGAGAGAGGGAGGGAGCGAGAAAGAGAGGGAGGAACGAGAAATAGAGAGGAGAGCGAGATGCACTTTGAAACGACTTGCCGCAGTTGTTGCTTTTCTACTACTGAATGCCAGTTCTTTCTGCGAACGTGCACTGAGTGCAAGATCCGTTGTGGGGAAGGCTCAACATTTAGGGCTTTTTCCTATCGGGGCGACCATGATCTCCATGCTTGCAGTTGATGCCATGGGTCTGTTCGGAGGTCATCGCTTTGCTCGGGGTTCAGAGTCCTGTTCGGGGCAAATTCTGTTCAGCAAGTTGTTGGAAGCTCAATCACGGTCCGGCAAGCTGGAAGCTTGGACAGGGCATTCCTCTCTTGAGCATCCTGAACTCCAGCACCAAAAAAGGGCCGGGCATGGGCGCAGCCAAGACATCGGACAAACGCTGACCCAAGCCCAAGGCCGGGATTTGATCTTGGCCGGCATCGAGCAGAAGTTGCAAGGGCCTGCAGGGGCAAAGTGGACGGCCTGTGAAAAGGGTCGGCCCTGCCCTCAGCGAAAAGGGTGTTCCGCAGAGTCGACCTGCCAGCCCTGAGTATCATGGTGAAGCATCCAGAAGAAATAGATGGACGGCTCTTTGACATGTTTTGGCAACATTTGTGTCATCGGCATCATACACGATGGCTGCCAGTGCTCTCGCAGGTTGTTGGCAGTGGCAGCCTGGCTATTGGTGAACTCCATCCGCACCGAGCGAATTCAATTTGCCATGTTGCAGCTGCAGAACCTGGCCAATGTGTGGTGCCTTGGGATCAGGGCGATCAGGGCAGGCTGAAACGAGTTTGAGAGAAGTGTCTTCCATAGAGTCCGAGGGCCTAGATGTTTGTTGCATGTTTGTTACTTGGGAGGCACGGCGGCACGGAGAGTTGGGAGTTGCAACGGTTTTGGCCAAAGCCCAGGCGACGCAATGCCTTCAAGACCGTGATGACGGATTTTGAAGTTGTGACATCCGAAGGCAGCCGGAGAAACGCTGAGGGCCTGAGGTTCTGTTAGCAGTCAGCCAAGCTGGCAGGATCATGTTGAAGTCTTTGTCAAATTCTTACCCCTGCCAGGTTTGAAGGAGGCAGTGCAGATCTTCAAGGAAGGTAGTGAGAGTGCGGGCACAGGCTTGTGGAGTTGGACTAGTTGCCCTCAATTTGTGCATTCATGCGGCAACTGCTACATAGTGTCACGCACACATACATACACATGGTATGTGCGTATGTATAATGATACATATACATATATATGTGTAGGATCGTTTCAGTTAAGGAGCATGATCTCTTCCTTTTTTTCCCCAGGAGCCAATTGCTTTCACATTGCCAAGCGGAGTGCCCAAGCCTCGTGGAGTGCATGAAGTGGCTTGGCCAACCGATAGATTTGGGGCTAAGACACGCTGCTGTCGGGAACTGTTCCGGCCGGCCAATTGCTACCCCCAGGTACTCCCATTATTTCAGATTAAACTGCTCTGCAAAAGTGGTCACAGCCACGGACTGGGTGGCTCACTTTCAGCCGAGGTTGTGCAAGACCGGGTGGAGCAGATGGCTACCCTGATCGCTGGCGAGGAGGATGAGCAAGCCGTGGCTGAGGCCCGGAATTCTACATGCCAACAGGTTGCTTTTTCACGTGTTTTTGCATTGTCATCCATCGCCGTAGTGAATGCCATGCGCCGTGGGCTGGCAAGGTCAAGAACAATGTGCAGGAGCTATCCAAGCTGGCGGATGAGCAACTTTGGCGCAAAGCGTGGAACTTGATTTTGCAGCCTTCTGGCCTTCAAGCAAATGCGAGCAGTCCCCACGCCATCGGTTGGTTTCACTTTCCGCGCATCCAATGCAGCAGGGCCAAAGAGACGCCTAAGGAAAGAAGGGGAGGCTGGCCTGGAGACAGAGCAGCAGCGTGAACAGGAGCAGGAGCGGCAGCAAGAGCAGGAGCAAGAGGAGGAGAAGGAACAGGAAATCGAGATTGAGAAGTGCCTCGGCGTGGATTTTGCTTTCCTACTTGTGTTGGTTGACTTGGAATCCCGAGCTACCGTGAAACCTGTGTAATAGGTGAATCATGGTGAATCTTAATACAGTGGGCGACGGTCCTTGAAGAGCCGCCCTCTCTCGACCTGTTCGTAGGTTCGGGTAGGCCCCTTCAATACCGGGTTGTAGCCATCCGCTTGTTGGACCTCCAAAAGTGGCAGTTTCATGGGAGACCGCCAGTGAAACTTCCCTTTGAAAGGGGTGCACGAAGGGGAATCCTGCCATGCGGACGTTTCTCCAAATAGGGACCCCTTGCACCCTGGACACACACACAGACATGCGCGCGCTCATATATGTGCGCATACACACTATATATTTATACACACATGAAAACCAAAAGACATCTAAAAGTACATAGGTATACACATGACGTGTGGGTCGTCCCGTCGGCGAGGTTTGTGGACCTGATGCACTGCCGCGACGATGAAGAGCCTGAGAGCTGGCCGCTGGCGTCGCTGGCCGCCGAGGACAACTAAGCTCGGCTTCCATCGCACGGTGCCTTCTTGGCACCTTCCAAAAACTGGGGTGGACGAAATCCATTTCGCACCCCCGAAGGAACCAGGGGAAACCATTGTTCGTTGGTATTTGCAGGGGAGTGCTATTTTTCAGGGTTTCTTAGGTGGTGCGAAATGGATGTCGTCCATCCGCAGTACTATGCAGCATCAGGATAATTGGCGCTGCAAGGGATTCCAGACATTGATGGGAGGTGTGTTGCGTAAGCTTCCGTAATCGGAGAACTGGGCATGTCACTTAACGTTTCACATCATTGGCGCAGCCTTTCAGTTCCTGAAAGTGAGATTGAAGGCTCTCTAGGACCACGTCTGCGGCTGCTGTTTCAATGCCGCCACGGCTCCCAACGGCGCTGCGTGCAATGCCTTTGCAAGCGAAAGTGTTCCTCCAGCCCTATTTGCCTATGTGCTGTTGCTTCTTCTACTTGCTAAGCTCACGGGGGCCAGTCATCAACGCTTCAACCCTGCTCACCATATGTCACATCTCCTACTTGGGAGGCACAAGCACCCGGGATTTTAGGGCACACGTGAGGATTGCCCCAAAGCCCAAAGCCAGTTTGGCAGCCTTTTCCGCCTCGAGTTTGCTGGGAGGTGTAGCCACGAACAAAATCAGTTCCATGAATAGGTAACTTATGCTTATTGTGGCAACAAGCAGAGAAATCGAGTTTGACTCACTTGAGTAGTGTCGACGGGCTTCGCGTCCGACGGCAAAACAATAAAGAATGCATGGTTATTTTCGACAAGTGACAACGATCGTTGGAAGCAGCCTTGCCAGCTCGGAGAAACAGCTTGTTGGGCAGTGAAAAGGCTAGACTGGATAGCTTAGCAAGAACGATACATTGCATGCGGACGTTTTCTGAGTGCAACGGCTGAACAGTTGCGATTTTCCCGCTCAAGCTTTCAACGCTTACTTTGTGTACTACACTGGTACTGTTTTCGAGCTGGAGCTGCCAAGCTATACGTTGCGTAGTGCACGAGCTCTGAGAAGTTGTGATTTTGAGCTGGAGCAAGGTGTGTTTTGTGTGCTGCACTTGCACTGCAAGGTCGCGATTTCGAGGTTGAAAGTTCAGGAATGCAAAACACTTGCAAAACGATAAGGAGTTCAAAATGACAGAAAAAGAGAATAAGAAAAAAACTACGTACCATCTCAGGTGGAGAGGTGGGTGAACTTCCATTCAGTTCTCTGAATGGCATGGTGTGACCATTTCTGGGAGCCAGCGGCTGTTTTACCACTTGAGTCCCCTGACATGTTGTTTGTTGGCCTGTCACTCGCCCCCGAAATAAATCTGTGTTTTGTTCACGTGTTGTTTCTTCATGTGGCAAAACGGCCGAATGGCCGTTTGGCTCAAGTTTTGGGAACTCCCGTCAAGTTCCCCTCGGGTTCACGCGCGAACGCCATACCCTGGCATTGCTCTTCGTCAGCGCAAAAGGCTTTGCGGTGCCGCGGCGCTCTGGGGGTAGGAGGTGTTCGGTGGGCCGTCGAGGTGTCCTTGGGCCTGTCCCTCAAAGCTACTCTTTTGCAACCATATTCTAACATTCCCAAACCTGATCTTCTTCAACTGTCACTCCCACAATCTGGTCACCGGCACCTTCTACATTGTGCTTTGGGACTGGGTTCTTTTGGTACTTCGTGAACCACGTGTACCTCTTTGATTCCCTGGGCTACTTCGTGTTCGCCCAAAACCGCAGGTTATCAGCCGTAACAGCTAGAAGCTGGGGCTGGTGATCCGGTTGCGGGACGTGACCCGCTACCTGCTCCCATCGCCTACTTGTACGAGCAATGGCGTCCCCCGGAGCTTCACATCGTGGGCCGGGCTTCGTGGACGACGAGGCCAACGCCCTTCGCGGCAACGCCGCGCCTGCTGCCCCCGGCTTAGACAGCCGGCTGTGGCCCATTCCCCCGATGGTGGGCGCAGAGCCCAATCCCGGGGTGATCACGGACGATTGGATCCTTTCTCAGGTCGTGTTTGATGAGGATGCGGAGGCCCCTATCCCGGCGGCAGTGCTTCAGATCGAGGACGGACCCCCTCTAGAAGAGGCTGAGGTTCCTCCAAATCAGGTGCCCTCATCGATTTCGCCTACTGTTCCGTTCGTGGCGCTCCAGATCGAGGACCGGGCTGTCCATCGTGCTGCTCATCCGGAGCCGGCTCAATCATGGTCCCTTACATGGGATCAGTTTGACCAGCTCCTCGGCAGTGGATCGCAGGCTACACCGCCTGATTTCGGTCGGCTCGACTTTAACTCGGGTGCCCCCATATCGGTTGGGAATCTGGATTTTCAATCCCTTTTTGATGCTGATTGGAGGTCTCAGCCTTCCCGAATTGACAGATCTTTTGATGCCCTGCCTACGCATGAGCCTACTCAGGGTTTTCCTCATGATGGAGAAAATGACCCCATTGAAGACTTCTCCCCTTCTCATGTTGCAGGTTCGGCCCAACCCGAGGTTGGCAAACGGGCGATTGAGGATTGGCCGCAAATAGCTGGCCTTCCTCCCGTCTCAGGTTCATCCGACATTGACATCATTCACGATCACCCCAGTCCGGCGGATATGGACTTCATCCCTGATGCAGTATCATCTCACCTGTCAGGTACCCGCGACCGGAATGCGGACCGCTACAACGCTGGTCCGAATCCACCGCTTTCCTCAGGTACCCGAGGTCGGGATGCGAACCGCTACAACGCGGGCTCAAATCCGCCAAATCGGGCATCAGGTACTAATCGATCGGACGCGGGCCGCGAAACAGCAGGCCCAAATCATTCCTCCACTTCGTCAAGAAGCCATGCCGGTCTCTTCGCGGCGTTCAATCGGCGTCAGACTCGAAAAGAGTCCGCCCCCGACGTCATCGACCTCGATGAGCAGTCCAGCCACCGTACCAGCGATGGATCCGAGCAGGATACACCTGGTATTGGCTCTACTCCCTTCGACCTCCTCGACATCCCCTTCCATCAGCCACCCAGGAGAGGAAATGAAGATGATGAAACCATCCCTGGGATCCTTGATGTAATCGATGAGGCCGAGGTCACGCCAGAGAGACGAACGACATCGCTCCCGCCGAGCCGTTGCCAAAGTACTTTCTCCTAAGCCACTCAATGGTGACGTTGCTCAACGGCTTGATCTCACTCAACCTGATCCAGATCAAGCTCAACTTCGTGGATCATCATCATCATTTGATAATGTGCCGGGACAAACCGGCACTGTTCCTATCCACTCTGCGGGGTCTGGGCTCAGCTCCAATGCCCCGATGTCTGAGAAGGAGACTGATGACGGGATTAACTCTACGCCCAGGAACCGGAGACCTGGACTTAGCACTGTTGCCCCTGGACATGGAGGGCTTCCTCCAAATCAACCGGTCAACAACTCCCTCGTCCCCGCATTCTTTCAAATCGGAACTCCGGGCTGCACTCCCGACAGGGAAGAAAATAGGCGCGGAGATCATGACGCTGATAGTCGTCCTGCTCCGTCTGCTTCCACAAGTGGCGGCCATCCTGTTGCATCTGAGCTTCAACGACTGCTTCTCGCGATCCACAACGAGGTCAAGGGGTGCAAGGCCGAAATCCAGGGATGCAGAACTGAGATTCGTTCATGTAGGGATGATATTAACGCTTGCGTCGGTGAGATCAAGAAGATCAATAACCGTGTTGACGCCTTCGAGAAGAAGGTTGAATCATCTTTCTCTGCCGTTGCCGGAACTCTCTCAAAACACGAGGCCAAGTTCCGTGATTTCCACGAGTGGGTCGCCCGAAGCGAGAAGGAGATGAATGAGCGTTTCAAGATGTATGATGAGAGGTCTGACTCGATCGTCATATCCGCTGCTGAACTTCGCGAGCAGGCCGAATCACTTGAGAACGTCAAGGTCCAGCTCCTTAGGTTCTCTGAGATCGGGGCCCTTGAGGCTGAGGTTCGGAAAATCAAGGACGAAGTTGAGGCGAACTCTCGCAGTGTCATCGACATTGAGGGAACCATCTCTAGGGAAAGAACCATCCGTGGGAACGTCGAGACGTATATCCAGCAGCTCGTTCCTGCGACCGACCTGAAGCAGTTCAGTGATGGGATGTCCGGAGCTCTCAATGAGAACTCACAGAAACAGGATGAGTTCAAGCTTCAATTGTCCCGTATTGCTAGGTGCGTCAAGGACCTTCATGACAAAAGCTTAGGCCCCAATCCGAGGGACATGCAAGAGCAGTTTATGAAGCTTGTGCTGAGGGTCAATGAGATCAACATGCAGATCGCTGAGTTGAGGGAGCAACCTCTTGCTGCCTGCGGATCTTCAAGTGCTGGCGCTGCTTCGACCGCCGGAACGGGACCATGGGAGAAATCTGGAGACACTGATCCCTTAACCCAGGGAAGGGCTCCTAGAGGTTCTCCTTCTCGTGATGCTCGCACCGTCAGCTCGGCTAGGCCTCCTCCACCTCCACCTCCTTCAGGGCCACCCCCACCGTCACCATCAGCCCCCATCTTCGGCAGGGATCCCTCTAGAACGAGGGCCATTGCTCGGGCTGCCGGCGCTGCCCCTGATAACCGGGCCAGGTGTGCTCATGAGGAGCCGGGCATCCACAGCATCGGGAACCTCGCTATCCATGCCGAAGCTGCGGCAAGTCAGTCTGCGAAGACTGCTTTGACCATGACTGTAACTCGTGTTTCAAGTGCAGCGATCAGTTTCCTAGATGCCGCGCATGCAGAGGAAGAGGGGGGAGACACGGACTTGTGAGGTGTCTCATATGCAAGGACGAGTACTGCGATCAACACATCGCTTCGCCTGACGATGTGCGCCGTTTTGGGTCGAATGTTCGACCTATTTGCCTCGGTTGTCTGAGAGCTGATCCCGACGGGAAAACTAAGCATCGCGGCCCCAGTGCGGGGCCTGGAGGACCTGATTGCATTCCTGACCATAATCAGCGGGATGGCACTGCTCCTGATCCTGGATCCGGGCCATCACGTGGAGATCCGTCACATCGGA